TATATATATATATAATATAATATGAATAATATAACAAATAAATTATATATCAATATAACAATAACTTAGTAAATATAAAAAATAATTTATTAAGAGGTTCATAGTTCACAACAAACAAATCTAACAAAAGTCATTATAATAAAGAGTCATAAAAAATAAAAGAAATACGGAAAATATTTATTGTTCGATCATCATCATTGAAAACATAATTTATTTATATTTTTATTAAAAAAATTTAAAATTTGGAATCCTCACTCGCTTGTTTCTGTTTCGATTGAGATGTTTTTTAAAAGAAAAATTTTGAATTTGGACGTTGAAGAGTTGGGTGGCGCATTAGAGAGTTGGGTCATGCGCGTTGGGGAGTTAGGTTGTGGCTGTCTGCATGTCCGTTTGGTAGGTATCCGCAACTGAATTCTGTCCAATTTGTACGGATACAGTCTGCAACCCTATCTGATTCTGTGGTGTATCCGCTCTGGAACAGTGCAGATTCTGCGATATGTATCCTGCATCATAGCCCTATACCACTGAGAATAATAGTCTCTTGCTAATTCGGTAGACTCTCTCCGTGTAATTCATAATTGAACAGAAACAAATGTAAAATATATGCAAAATTAGGCCTCGTCACAAGTTGCATAAGGTGTAAGAATGCTTGAACTTCTTATAGTGGTTATAATTTGGGACACTTTTCCTCGTTTTATTTGCTGAGAGTGAGCTCTGGGAATTGGCGATGGGAACTGCTTTTTAACAACTACTGATGAAAAACTAAATAAGGAAAAATCAATCATTGAAACACTTATCAGCCTCTTTCATGTTCTCAAGCTCAAACAATGGAAAATATGTAGCTCGTACTAGCTTGATTCATCCAACTTCTCCTTGAGACGGGAATATGAACTTAGCCGCCATTAATATGAAAAGTGTGCTTGTTTGGTTTACAAGCAAAATCAATTTTACACACCGGGATCCATGTTTGATTTAAACACACATTCAATGGTTAATATCAATTCTACCCAAATCTAAAGCAAATAGGTTATTAGATGTTGTCATGGCTTAGGGCTTGGGCATCATGTCTGGCGGATTTTCTGCATTATCGATCATTTCTATTACAATATATAATACCTTTAGATAGAATCTCTCATAAAGTTGTGTTCAACATCAGGTTGTTTATTCTTGCAAGATACATTTGATTTTTATTGTATGAACCTTTTAGTTTTTATTATCATAACGATTAACGAATAATTTAACGTTAAGCGATAAAAACCTCATTGGCCATGTAATTTGGGGTGTTATGCTAGTAAATGCAAAATATTTGAATGCGAAATAACGCATGGAATTTATTTAAACTGGAATGGTGACTGATAAATTTTGAGATTTAAAGATTTCTCGAGAGTTGAGTAATTAGAAGAGGTAAGATAGGCGCAACATTGCTCTCTAATAAAAGTACATTAGCAGTGCAGAAAACGATGTTGATGTCTGAAGCTTCTCTTTTTGCTAACTTCATCTCAGTATAATATGCATACGCATCTTATTATGGCTTCTCATGACACTAGACGATACTGGAAATGCTGGAAATTGTCTTGATGAATCTCTGATTGTTATATATCTTTATCTCATTTTGATCATCATGTCACATAAAATTGAAACTCCTCCTTATCCATCTGCAACAAATTGAAAGGAAAACCGTTAGTATGAAAGAAAGAAATTACTCAAAAGAGTCATATCATAGACACTACTACAAGAATCCACGCATGTATCCAGCAGAAGATAGAAATAGATAATACAATGTATTAGCCACAAACTGTCAAAAAATGGCAGGGCAAATCTCCTTTGGCAAACCAGAAGCATGCATGTTCAAGCCCTCTACTTCTCTCTGCCAATAGGAGATTTGCCCTATCATTCCTCAACAGCACATATATATATCACATGCATTTCCAGCACCAAATTTGTGTCTGAGTCTATCATCATAAAATGGAAGGCTATATATAGGTAGCTATAAGCATCTAACTTGGATATGCCACGGAAGAGGATTAGGAGCAGACAGCATATGCCGGTACAATTCCAGTGTAAGGTTCTTGTTATTCACTGGTTCCAATTCTTTTGTCATCAATCTCTTTCAAAAACAAGGATTTGTCTACATCGCAATTTCCTCTACTTTGTAAATCAGATTCTTTTTTTTATGGAGGAATTGGTCATAGACACTTTCTGATATATAACATGCTTCAAATGATATCAGTATTTATGCATACGTAGACTTTCTTTCAAACGGTTTAAAGGTGGTAAGTGTTAATCAATCCAAAATAAAATTTCAGGTTAATAGGATTAAAGGTGTAAAGTGTCTATCTGTCACCAACTTTGAATTACTAATTTTTGAATTGGATTAAGCTTAATGAGATTATTGTGTTTGTGGGGATTACAAAAGCATTACAAATTTTACTGATTTTTGACCGAGATGATGTCAAGGCCACAATTCATTGTTCAGATCATACACTAACTAATAATCCATTAAGTCTGAAAATGTTAATGCCACAAACATATTTGATGGTGATGATGGCTTGAAAGTTGAAAATATGTATTTTTAAAACTCCATCTTTAAAGGGAGATCCATTAATTGGAGAAAAGCCTTTTTTGGAGGCAATAGAACCAATCCAACATTAAGCAATAAGCATAAAAGGTGTTCAATATGAAGAATTCAATAGTGGTTGAACTTGTTCTTAAGTTTAACTACACAATGGAAGAGAATTTGTTTTAATATCACGATATTATTGTAAAAATTTAAATGAAGATTCGCTTACATAATTTCTATCAAATTCCAACGGTTCTTTGATATTCGTGCTAGCTTTCTTCTCCTATGAAATTTTCTGTCAGACTGTCACCATAGACAAAAGAAAAGAAATCAAAGATTCTCAATTTACAACAGTATGAGTATGTACATAAGAATAAACCGGTAGCGAACATGACAATTAAGTTGAAAATATCTCATTCTTTCCAAGACCACGGTGATTAAAAGAGGAAAGTGAGATAGACAAATAAAGAAAAAGAAAACAAATCCTCTAGATAACCTCGGTCTTCAATACACAAAGGATTGCCTCAGGCTGTTGAACTTCTCAGTGTTTGAATTAGGGTAATAATTCCCTTAGCCAGAGCATAATTTAACACAACATCTACTGATTTTCTCTAACAGACCAAATTTGCCGAAAAACTCATAGGACTACATACATGCACGCATATGTACATAAGTATATACGTAAATACAAATACATACATATTACGTATGTATTCATAATTTTATTGAGAAAGTATTTCTAACTGAAATTTCAAAGTTTCAACTGTACTGGTTACTCACTATACTGATTCTCTAGTCCCTCTTAAGTGAGAGGAAAAAAAACTTGTATCTATTTGGTAACAGAATTCCATCATAACTAATACATTTAATCACTTGATTGAAAAGATCACAATGATTTTTGAAAGCAGAACAATATCATTAGACTTATCATTTCAGAATTTGGTAATGCACACTACTTGTGAAAAAAGAAGGGGAGGGTTGATTTTTCAACCATTACATTGAGAATGGAAATTCACTACCAGCATATTCTTAAGTAAACAGAAGACACTAAAAAGGAATAGAGAAGATTATGCCTTTCATACGGGTGGCATTTACTTTGATACAGACTTCACTTCATTGCTTGTTCTATTTATTTAAGACATGATAATTAAAATTATTTGCATGGAATTTCAGAAGAAATATATGTGGTACCGATCTCACAGTAAAAGTGCAGTAGCTGTAAGATTAAAGCCACAGGATGGACCACTTTCTTTCTTGTAAGTTGTAATGAGGATGTGCTTGGAATATCCTTTGTCTTGTGCGATGCATGTCCAAGTTTTATATCATAGCCTACATTATATATACACATTGATACCTACAAAATGTTTATCAAGAAAGATCATGGGCAGGTGCATTACTGGGCAATGACTTCTTTGGCAGTTGACCATTCAGCTGCTTGTCATCATGAAGCAGAAAAGCTAAGTTACCGCCAAAGAAGATTTGCCCGGCAATTCACCCTGCTCAACTAATTGCTTTCATATATCAAGAAAGGTGTATATTTATGTGCGTTACTATTTCATGCTACAACGGTTATGTTATGTAATATGTTCGTAAGGTACGCACAATATATAATGTGAAGCATGCTTTTATTTGCAATCTAATGTTGTCAGAATCTATCGGGCAGATTCAGTTCCCACATAAGACTGACCCAAGGGAGACAAAAGTAGGAGTTTTTAAGGGTCAGTTTGGGTGGGTTTGGGTAAGTTAAACTCATATTCAATTCCATCAAAATTTTACATGAGTTTGTGTCATTTTTTTTTGTCAAAGACGAACTAATCTTTTCATGAAGGAATTGGATTTTGTTTGGTCAATCGATCTAATTATTTAGAAATATTTTCGATGTTTTGGAAATTGAACCTTTTTCCTTTCAAAAGTAAACTTATGGTATTATGGGTAACACTCTTAACAGTAAACTTATTTTATTTTATTTTTATACTTTTAGAAGTATTTTTGAAAAAAATTATCCAAACATACTCTTATTCTTATATATACAAACTTTATTTATATCTATATTAGAGATTTTCATTATACACATCAATCAATATAAAAAAAAATTTAAGACTAGGAACTTTAGTATTATTGTAATTTATATATATGTAATAAATTTAATAATATGTATCTATATACGTCTTGAGTTGAGTTTAAAAATCAAAACCTAATACACAACTCATACTTCAGCAGACTCGAATTGATTCAACTAGGTATGATCCAAATGCTCAAAAAAATTAAATCTAAAGTATTTGAGTTGCTTTAAGTTAAAGATATTACTTAGACTCATGAACACTTGGATAATTACATGGCTTTAAATTTAATTATAATTATAATATTTGCAAGTACTCTAAAATTTATTTATTTTTATTTTATATAGAACACATGTATTTTTCATTTAAACAATTTTATTCGAGATTCTAAGAGCATTAAGTACACCTTAACTTTCTATTTGATTATTTGACGTAGTAACATATTTAAAATTAGAACTTAATAGGTAAGTTAGAACAACTTTGTGCTAGTTGATTCAATTTATATTTTTTTAAAAAAATTATTGCATTCATATTTTCTTTCATTAACCTTTAATTCTCTTATCTATCAAAAGAAAGTTCGCAATATATATGTTCAAAGGATTTAATAGTATTACACTAATAATTTAAAATAATTTTATATAGTAATCTAGTTACATATCACTAACTTTTATAATAACCATCTTAAAAATCATATAAATCATGATTTTTAATTGATTAAATATGTAACAAAAAAAAAGTACATTAACAATGTATGATATGATCAACTCATATCTAAAATATAATATGTTAAAAAAAACATCAAAGAATACACTACAAGAAAAATGCTGATTTTCGACAGAAATTTCTGACGGAAATAGGCAAATTTCCGATGGATTTCAATCCGTCGAAAAAAGTGGCGTCGGAAAAAAAAATCGTCGGAATTAATTTTCTGACAGAATTTTCTGTCGAAAAATTCTGAAAATTTCCGACGGAAAAATCTGTCGGAAAATTCCGTTATCCGTCAGAAATTGCTGTCAAAATTTTTGACGAAAACAATATTTTTGAAAATTACAGAGACTAAAAATAACAGTTTTAAATTTGAGGGACTAAAAATAAATTTACCTTAAATTTGAGGGACTAAAAACATATTTAAGCCAATTATTATTATTATTATTATTTTACATTTTAACACCTTTTTTATTTGTTAACTTTAGGTCTAGTGTAAGTAAAAAAAACAAAAAAAAAACAAGTGAAATGAAGATAGCAAAAGTAAAGAGCGGAATTATTTCTTGGGACAAATATTTTAATGCATATCTCTTTGAGATGATCATGGTTGAGGGAAATTAAATTCGAATGCGTGATTTTAATTTTTTTTCTGTGAAATTCACATAAAAAGATTTATTAATTTGCAGGAGAAAGTGAGAAGAAACTAAACATTCAATAGTTTTCAAATAAATAATTAAAATAATAATAAATTAAAAATAATCTTTATGTGTTATTTTTAGAAAACTAAACTTCTCAAAATTTAACTTTTATTTTATTTCTATTTAACCAAACAATATTTATTTATAATTTTCTATCTATTTCTTATTTTTTTTTATCTTCACTTTTTTTATTGCTTTTTTATTAGGCTAAAAACCTAATTTGGTCCCTTATTATAATTGTTTGTTTTAATTTAGTCCCACTTTAATTTTTTATCTTAATTTAGTCCCTAATAAATTAAATTGTTGCAATGTCAGACTTCCGTCCAAATTATTTAAACGGAGTTAACTGTTGACCATGTGAATGTCACGTAGATGCACAGGTGGATGTTTATAAATATTTGTTAAAATATAAATTTTTAAATAAATAAAATTAAAGTAAAAATAAATAAATTTAAAATATATATTTATATTAAAAAGTAATTTTATAACATATATTTATATTAAAAATAAATCATGGTCATAGAAAATCATGGATGGTTCACGGGTTTCGCAAAGCCTAGACTCTCTCTGGTTCTACAGCAACATCTTGAGCAGCACAGACAGTGTACCCTCTTTGACTCATCATCAAGAGGCAACGGAATGTGCAGAAGTGAGAGGCAGGGTGGCTGGGGACTCAGAAACGGTGAAAGAGAAGAGAAGAAGAAAGAGGAGGAAGTGGAACAAAGTGGGGAACGTGGTTCATGGATACAACAAATATAAGAATGAGATGCCTCCGTTTCATGATGACGTGGCAATGAAACAACATCTCAGGTCATGGGCTTCTGCGGTTGGCCTGCACTGTCAAATAAAGCACTTCACAAGGTGAACTCAAAACTCATTAGCTTCACCAGCTGCATCACATGGAATAGCGGTTTCAGTGTCTCGGAGATTAATTAATGCATGCTTATGCTTATGCTTATGCTCATGCTCATGCTTATGGTACCTCATCCTTATCTGTGGAGTGTGGAGCCCCATGTGTACTGTTTTCTAAATTAATTATG